TTTTATTATTATTTAAAGCATGTGACACCTTATTAAAGTGTATTTAGCTCAATCTATATTCTCATTAACTCTCACCACCTTTTCACCAACATGATGCTTCCATCACCATTCAGGCAGATCTATAATGCTTTCTACGCCAAATTGAATTTTGCTTATAGGTTAGAAAAAGTTCAAAAGCACCCAATCACAGCCCCTCCTTCTACATTTGCTGTGTCTCCTGGCTTTGTTAGTGTCAAATTCCGGATTAATTGAGTAAATAATAATCTGTAAAATGTTAAAAGCTTAAAATATGTTTTTAATAAGCTCATCCCTAGCCTGCTCTAGAATTCTCAACAAGTTTGTATCTGACCTCTGTAGTGTGCTCTTTGGTCTTTGTGATGTTTTGTTTATTAGTTTCCTCTAAATGTCTATCAATTTTCCAAACCTATTAAAAAACAGCCTCATAAATAAATAAGATGCTTATCCTTGAAAGTCATGGTACCAGCCTTAAGAAGTGGTTACCAAGTGCAGACTTCAAAACAACATGGATTTTTGGGAGAAAGCAATGCAAATATAAAATAAATCTGTTATCTTGCCTGTATGTCCTTAACTAAATAATACAAATTAATTTGGGGCTTTCTGAAGGCAGATATTTACATGGGGTTTTATTTTGTGCAGCTCATTTTTACCTTTATCTTTCTTTAAAAAAAAAAAAAAATCACCATTGTTTTACTTTTTTATGTTTACTCAACTTTGATGATCTATCCCATATATAATATCCCAGTAAAACCTTTGAAGACATTTCTGTTCTATTGTAACACAAAGAGAAAAAAAATCACTGTTTTTCTAAACACAGACTTTGTCAGTGTTTTATGCAGCAGTGTATTATGAAACACTCTGATTTTTTTCCAAAATAAAGGAAAAACGAGAATAAAAATGACTGCAGCTCTAACAGTCAAGCTGATCGTGTCCTTTCTATATCTTTCTTAGACTCCCTTTTGGAGCTTGTCAAATTTGATTGCCAGTAGATAAAGAAATTGGTCCTCCTCTTCTTCAAGAATAGCAGAATGTGATCTGGTCTAATGGACTAAAACTCTTGGCTTAAGATTATAAATCATCTTATCTTTTAAAAGTCAAATCATGGCTTCCAAATCTGCCTCCTCTCTTTCCTCTTGCTTGTTTTTTCTCCCAGCAGCATCATCTAACTACTGTAATGCTGCTGTTACCTCTTACTATTGTTCTCACGTCTTCACGTTTGAAGTAATTCCACTGTTGTGCTTGTTGGGAATCTATCTGGAGATGAGCTCTGGTTTAATACCAGGACTGTAATTGAAATGGTCTACGAATCTTTCTAAAAGTCAGGCAGGATGTAATTGGGAGGGAGAAATAATGAAATAACGCTGAAGTGAAACAGCTGAGGCATCCATGGGATGTCCCGCATTATTACGATTCATTTATCAATGATGAGTGCACAGCAAACATCTCTCTTTGACTGTCTAACAAGCTCCACTGTCTAGTTGTTGATTAGCTTTAACCAATACTTCAATAGAGGCTTGTATTAAAATCCCATTTTTTGTAGATTTATTGTTTCATGAATCATTTATGTATTCAGACAGATTGCACGCCAGAGAACCTGGAATACAGATTTTCACCAAATTTCCCCCAGCTGCCTTAAGGGCTTTGTGTTTATCTTTTATCATCACACTTTTTGTGTTTGCTGATCCTTTTCATAAAATTCTCTTTATGTTGGTTTAAATCCTGTGACTATGAGAAATATTCACACCTGTAGCACCACCCACTGCCAGCTCTCAAATAATCCGCACCCATCAATCAGCTCCCAACATCCAATTCCCTTGTCAGCGCAGACACACCTGGCTCATTCCAAGAGGATAAAAACATGGGGCGCATTAATTCTCTAGACTTCAAATAATTTTTTCCTTAAACTGTCTTCAGGGACTTAAGGACTTTCAGTGGAGTGTTGCTTTGTTAGCTTTGTTCTCCCCCGGTGGGACATTTCCATTTGAATGAACTCGCCTCATTTTGTCTCATCTTCAGCGCCACGTTCATGTGTTTGAATGTGGCCCTCACAAGTGTTATTATCCACCTGCGTTGGATACTTTCAGATTTAATGAGATAACTGCAGCTTTAGTCTCGCTCTGTTTGTTCACGTGTATCTATGTGGGTTAGGTAAACTCTGTCATTGTTAGAGAATGTAACTGTGAGGTTTGCAGGCCTGAGATATTCTTTTTGTATTTTTTATTTCAAGTCAGGTTTTTTGGATTCATCACGAAAACAATTAGTTTACAACAAATATAATCTTTCACCTAATAACAATATTCTATCAAGGCGAAGGAATCCCCTTTAACACGTATATTATCATTTCTATGAGGACACGATATTATAAATCGGGATTTTCTCTAATAAACAAAAGGTCCCGTTTTGACATAAAACATTGTCCTGGTGGTGAAGTTGGACTTTTCGAACAGAGCCTGAATAAAACGCAGAGCTTTGTGATAGAAGGATGCTTAAAATTTCTCATTGGTTGAATATTCTCAACACTCAGCTTCAGTCATGCCCTACTTTACACACTTTTGGCGTCACATTTTGCATTGCATGACAGACATTTTATGTTGCTATGATTCAATGGAGCACGCACATTTTTTATTTTACAAGACATTTGACGGGATTTTAAGGGAGTCTATCACACAAAATTCACTCTTTGTCCTCTCACATGGGTCTTTACTGCCTCTAGAAATAGTCCAAGCACTAATAAAAGTAGGTAAATATATTATAATAAAATGTATTTAAATAAGCTCAAACATAGACAGTTAGGACACAATGTTGTAGAACATAATATTGGTGAGGCATTTCTTGTTTAGTTTTTCATATAACTCACTTAACATTTAATACTTGTAGCCTGCAGCAAGGGTATTTAACTACAACAACAAAAACATCCTACTAAGACCCTGAAGTCTCTAAGAAGTTGCTATGCTGTTATGATAAAAAATAATAAAAAAGATAAACCAGGAATACATGTATTAAAGTCAGAGTGAGAGGTGGTTTTATTCATCAGCATCTACAACCTTGGCTGTTCATGCATGCAGCTCCAAGCATCTTAATCTTTATCTGACTTTATTGAAGTAATAGAAGAAGCATACTTTTCTCTAAGTCTTTTGTGATGCCACATCCTGATTTGCTAAACAGAGTCTGATAATGTGTGGTGAATTTATTATATTTCTTTTGAAGTAAATGTGTTTTAAATCTTGCTGTTTTTGTTGCTTTTGTCTAGTTTTAGTAAGATGTTTTGTTTCTCCTGCTGTATTGATACGCACCCTTCATAGGTCAGACGATGGACTGCAGTTGAGTTCTGTGGGTCTGCAGTTTTTAGGTTGCAAGAGGCAGTGGGGGGTTGTTTATTATGCTCTAAGAGGTGTCTTTGTACGGTGCACACTGGCATTTTTGTTGGGTGGCTTTTGTGATCTTTAGGTAGGGTTATGTTTCTCTCTCTCTTATTGTGATTTGGGGGAGTGATTGATGAATGAGTAGAATCCTCTGCTTGACTGTGGTTTGGATATGTTGTGTTGTATTGTGGGTTTTGGGTTTAAGGGGCTGAGAAATGCAGCTGGTAAATGCACACAAACACAAACTCTACAAACAGGAAAACATATTTGGAGCAAAGAATTCCAGTAAAAATATTTTTTACAGTAGAGCTAAACCCAAAAGTTTCACACCCTACAGCAAATAGAAAAACATTTTTAGAAGCTGAAAAAACTAAGTGAAATAGAAGTAGAATCAGTAGAAAAGATTAAAAAAATAATAATAATATAATCAAAATCTGTTTTGGCATTACAACAGTAAAACCTAATAATGGCTGACCAGAAACATGCTTTTTGAATATTTCAGGTATGGCTGGTGTTTGATAATGCATTTTTTATGGTGGCACGCCTCTTTCCCATCAAGATTTTAATCTTTGGTTTGTTTTTCTGATTAAAGTTTTGACTGGAGTAAACATGATTGTTTCATTTGAAAAATAGATATGGCCTAACCCTTGCCAGAAGATGTGAGTTATTATCCCTTTCATTGAAACAATTAAGTATGCAACGGGAGAAGCATTCAATTATTTTGCCTCTTTAAATCCACAATAACATTACAAAGTAAAAAACAAAAACAAAAAAAATGACCATAAAACAAAGAAATAAAGAATACTTTAATGCAAGTCATAAATCTTTAGGGGTGTTTAGGTTGTTTTCTTTATGAAGGAGGCTCTGTGATTTCAATACAGAAAAGATCAATCCTGCTAATGTGTCATTTGCTAAACTGTTGAGTTATAATTGGAACAGAGATGAATGCATTCAGGGCAATTCTAAAACTATCTAAGGGTAAACTACAGGTTATCCCTGCTATCCCCCCACCTTGCCTGGAGCTGTGATAGGATGAAAAATTGATACAGAACCCCTCAAAGGAAGTGGAATGGGTGGAGGGGGGGGGGCTCAGCATCTGTGAGCTGCATTCAAGGACAACTGTGGTATCCATTTTGGAACAGTATGAAACAAGCCAGTGTTTTCACTGGGGTTTGGGAATGCAGGTTCCTGGATGAACTGTGGATGCTACTGTTCTCCTGCCAAGCCAACTGTGATGTTGCAGATTAGATCCGAATCATTGACTCCTTGTTTGAATCAGCACGTCCCTTTTCATTCGGAATGAGAGATAATGAGCAAAAACGACCGTTTGATTGTTTCTGATCTATGCTGTGGTAAATTGCCAGATAGATAGTGATTGTTTTATTGTCTCTGGTGCTATAACAGCTGTGTTTAAAGTTTGGTTAATGTTTTTATTTTTGTTTTTTTTATGAACCCTAATGGGGTTTAGATGTATTTTAATCTCTGTTCTGATATTTTTTCTCTCTGCCTTAATTCACTTCTCTGCCTTTTCTGTCCTCTAATCTTTCACACTTAAAGTATCCTGTTCTTTGTTTATATGCTACTGTTTAAATGTTTTGGCTTGTTTGTTTGTTTTTACAGAATCAGTATCACCTTCAAATGTCAGCTCGTGTTCCTCCATCGACCCTCGGCAGCCTTCTGCTGGCAGTCCTACAGAATGGAGATGGGGACAAGGACATAGGAAACCGCGGAGAAGGCAGGTGGGGAGGAGCAGCTGTGATCTGCCCTGGATGGGATGAAGGCAGCGACAGCCTGCTGACTCACCTGCAGAGGCACAGTGGTCCTGCTTGGCATTTGTGGGACATCATCAACTTGACTCGCATCACAGGAGGTAGAGATAGAAGGGGGGAGGCAAGAGAGGAGAGGAGGGAGGATCAAATGGAAGAAGAGGCTTTGAACATCATCTCTTCTAGTTTGTTGCGCTCCCCCTCACCGATCTCCTCCGTGCTCCTCATGGGATCTGATCCAGAGTGTCTCTCATCTGTCCTGCGGGCCGCTCAGCGTCTTGCACCATCACTTCCAGCACTGCAGTGGATCATGGGATATCCTTTATCTCCTGATTCACTGCACACCCTGGGAGGTCCCCTTGGTCTGTTGGCCTATGGGGAGGTTGGACGCAAACCAATAAGCTTCTACATAAGGGATGCTTTACAGCTGATTGGAAGAGCAGTCACTGCAGCCACCATGGTGAAGCCAGAGTTAGCTCTGGTTCAAAACTTAGTTAACTGCTTTGAACAACCAAACAAGCATGAGCTACCTTCTTCTGGACAATATCTTTCCAGGTATGAACACACAATGATGCAAATATGATTACACAAATATAAAAAAAAATATTTATAACTCTTTGTTATTATTTTTCTAATTTTGTCACATTAAGACAAGTCAGTCTAATGGTACACTGTTATTATATTATGGGATATTTAAACATAAAGCAGTCAATAACAATGAAGTAAAATAGAAAGTAATGAGGAGTTTCTGTTTTATGGTATTTTATTGTGGTACAAGATACTATCACTCAGACGCAGGAATTGATCTTATCTATTCCTTTTTAGTACGGTTTCTGCATTTAGGGTTATTGTTTTGCTCAAAAGTAAACGTCTACCCCAGTCTGAGTATTCAATCCATCCTATCCTATACATCTAATCCGTTTCCATGTTCACACTGAAGGAAATCATCCTGACAGCAGTATTATGCTGAAACCATGGCTTTTCAGTTGAAAAAAAGTGTTTAGGTTTAGATTTCTGTCATGCTCAAAACAGAAGGACCCAATATTCAAGGCGGAAAAACAGCTAGATTTCTCAGAGCATTTATTGATAACAGAATCTGACTAAGCAGCGTCGATGTCTAAGGCAAGAACTGGTCTTATAACCAGTCTCTGGTCTTATAGTTCCGTCCGAATCCAGAGACAGAGGATGGTTCCAGCCAGCAACGAGGCACCACAGTCGCTGCACAGACAGTCCCAGACGCTGATGTATTGTGGGTGCAGGACAGGCATGAGATCAGAACCGAGCAGACGAATGTAGGCAGAATGATCCGGAGGGCAAAACCAAAGCCGATGTTGGTGACCTGGAAGGTTGTCAGAGATGTGGTGAGGTGCTGAAGGTGAATCCAGGATGGAGTCAGGTCGCAGCTCCATGGAACAGTATAAGGTGGGGTTGACAGGCTGGACAAGGGCAGGCAGGCCCAGTGGTCGGGAAACAGTTCTGGTCGGTACACAAGCAGGCAGAGATCAGGCAGGTAGTCATATCAGGCTAACAGATCAGACAGGGACAGGAAGGCTTAGAGGTTGAGAGGCAGAACAGGACAGCATCAAGTAGTGCACAACAACACTGGAATAAGTCTCTCCAAAGGCTCGAAATAATCTGGCACTGATGACTGGTCTGAAGGCTGGTTATATAGTGACTAATCCAGGTGGATAAGATGAGCAGATAATGAGAACTAGACAGCGCTAACCAGAAATGAGTGATTACACAAGGCTTCAGTGCTGCGATCATGACAGATTCCGAAAAGAGTTGTGCTTCTGTTAAACCCAAAACATTTAGTTTTGGTCTCAGCTGACAACAGCATCTTCTCATGTGTGCAGCAACCCCTACATGGCTAATAGCAAACTGCAAGCATCTCCTCCATAAAAGCTCTTGGTTGGTTAAGCTCTTTCTAGCTTCAACTACAAACTGCTGTTCAGTTAACAGATACTCCAACCAAATGATAGTTGGTGATAGGAAATTATTTGTCAGGGAAGACTCAAGCTCAGGTTTACAACACAGAAGTAAACTCTACACAACTGCAATTGCTTTTTAATGCTGGTTGGTCCAGTCTAAAATATCGATCCACAATGTCTTGTGAACCATTGTGACAAAATGAATGCCAGATTTGGACTAGAAAGACATGGAAACTCCTGGTTGTTCAGATTTAATGTATTTTTTTGTTTCTTTGTATCTTTTATCGTTTACCAAATTAATGTTTTTTTTCCCCCATAGCATTTAGATGTGATTGACAGACACAACACTAAAGACAAATTATCATATTAGACTTGACATATGATGCAGACTTGTTTTTTTTTTACCAATTTCTATAAATTTTGATAATGTAGAAAATTCTGATTTATTTTCATTTTTCAAAAATAAGATGCAGTAACCCCTGCTTAGCCTGAGGAGGGCAATTAACAGGTGGTTTTGGACATAAAAGCAGGATTTTAACATATGGAAAATTGCCTATACCTAAAACGTGTGTTCAGTTGTTGACATTATTCCAGGGAAATTTAGATAGCAATATCATGCATCTATTTATACAATTTATTAGAAAAAATATTTAAATATGGGGGAGTAGTCCTTTACGAGCCACATAGTAAACAAAATAAACGTGTTATTTATGAATATGTTGTATAGTCTGGGCTACTGGCAGGTGTCCTGACTAAATAACATAACAAATGACTAAATAACATATTCATATTTTGACTGCATAAAACAATAATAGTTGTTTTATGCACAAACTTTTAATGATCAAACCCGTAAAAGCATCCACACTTTGTCAAAAAATGCCTTTCAAGGTATATTGCCCAATCTGCATTTATTGAATTAATCATTCCGTTGTTTACAAGTGAAGTTGAAAAAAAATTTTGGTTTAGTTGAGGAAATAGATTTTATGTAGTATGTTAAAGTCAGTTTTAATAATTATGCTAGACTTTTCTTTACAAGTCTTATATCTGCTACTTCCCGTGACCTACACTTCTTAGTCTTGTTAAAGATAAATGGGAAATGCATATGTTTTTCCAACCATTTAATATCATCTCTCAGATGATGTAGGGCTAGCAGCAGTTCTTGTCATGGCTTGCTTCATCCTCAAATACGCTTTCTAACTCTTGCAGACAGCCTCTGGGCAAAACTCCTGTTTCTGCTGTAAAATTATTACTACCGGGAGCCTAAACTGCAACATTTATTCCCACAAGTGAGCAGTTATACAATCATCTTACAACGCATTGATCACACTGACAAACTACAATTAAATTCAGCTGGTCCCACTACTAGGTGTCAGTATGCTTATTAACTTTCTGAGTGACACTTTGGCTTTTAGTGGTAAGTTCCAGACCCTGTTCATGGCTCTTCACGCTCTGGCTGTTGCCCTTGTCTGTCCTCTGCACAATAGGGGCGCTAATTTCTTAACAGCACTCTCATACCAGAGGTGGGGAGGAGGTCTATGTGACATATAGATTCACAGACTGACACCAAAGGGTTTTGTGTGTTTGTCCGTGCTGTTACTATCAGCTCAATCCCTGCGGCTTTTAGAAACGACCCTGACAGCTTTCAAAAATCTGCCAAGGTGCTCTCTGTGATGTAAAGACACACACAGAGCAGAAAGGTACCTATTAAATAATAATGTTTTCACTTGAGTAGAAAACTATAATCCTCACATTTGGATAATAACACACTTCTAAAAACACAGATGAGCCCCATGTAGCTGATATAGTGTAGCCTGGCCTGCTAGACTGATACGCTGTGTCTGAAAAGAAGCTGGTAGAGTCTGACCTCAGTGACTCACAGAGTGAGCAGATACTAATTACATTAAATCAGATAACTATAGATTCAATGCAAAAATGTCTTTCTTTTAAACACAAAGCTCTTACGGCAGCCCGTTTTTAAATTTTTAAAGATATATCGAGCTCATTGTGGACATGCAAAATGGCAGCATTAAAACATCACTCCATTGAGGCTGCAATCTTGACTCTTATTGTTACAGAAACGCACACTTGCATTATGGGTAATTTTGGCATAAGCATAAACTGCTTCCTCCCTCCTGTGATTGCTCTGATCTGTGTTAGACCAAAGTCTGTGCCTTACCAGACTGACTTAAATCCCATGTAGCCAGCTTGGCTGTTGTGGCTAGATACTGTGTGAAGCATTGAATGCTTTTTCTGTAAATTCCCTGCAAACTAAAAAACTCTTCATCAGACAATGAACACAGGTTTGCCTTGAATGCCAGTTCAGACAAACAACAAGGATGGAATGTTACTGAGAGGAACCATTAGGAGCACAAATAAACACCAATAATATTGTCAGTGGATTCTCATTCTGCTCTATCATTTTGCACTTTAGGCAATTGCTGGGTTACAATAACAATTAGCCACTTAAAGCCCAAATTAAAAAAAAATGGTGGCTGACATTAATGCCACCTGCTAGAACAGCTTACTCATTACAGCGTTGTTAGCTTTTGTTTTGTTTTCTTTTTAATCCCTATTAATTTTTCATGATTCACATTGAGTATACTGTAACTCACCCCAAAATCCTTTTTTTTTTTTTTTGCATTCAAACTATATTAACTACATCTGGGTTAATCCGTTAATGTCACTGTGCTCTTATATTTTCATGTGAGATTTTTTATTTTATTTTATTTTTTTTATTTTATTTTCAGTTGTCTTTTCTTATTGATCAAAAGGATATGTGCAGATATATGCCTTGATAACAGCTACAGGCATTTTACACCAAAGCCTCATGTTTAAATATTGCAGCACCTCAGTCAGGGATAGATGTCTCCAGAGTAAGCTCTATGTTTTCAACTAAAAATGTGGCTGAAAAATCACAAAAGATCTAGGTGTAACTACAAGAGTCCCTCTACCCTCTAGTCTGCATGCTTAGCTAAACAAAGTTAGCTACCACATGCTGACCATATCCCCTGCTACCACTCATGGAATAGAATAGAATTCAACTTTATTTTCATTACATTGTCACAAGTACAAAGCAACGAAATTCACTCTCTGTATTTAGCCCATCCTTTTGGAGATGGGTTAAATGTGGCGGTTAAGGGTCTTAATCAGGTAGTCAGAGTGGCAGTCCATGGTAGTGGGGCTTGAACTCAGAATCTATGGGATCAAAGCGCAAGGCCCAAACCACTAGGCCACCACTGCCCTCATCCCACTTATCACTCACTAATCCCAACAAAGCCTTACCACTCAACGTCTATTGGCACTGACCAGTTGGGTGGCATTTCCAAAAATTGTTGGGGTTAACTACTGTCTGTTTAAAAGCTGTATTTTACTTTATAATTAAGTTTCCAAGACCAAAGCTATTGTTACCAAATCTCAGTTAAAGGAATAGTACATCCAAAACATGATTAGCCTTCATTTTCTACTCACCCCCATGCTGAACAACACTCTGGAGTACTTTTTTGATATCTCAAATGCATCTGGAGATCTGGGAGGCATCTTGCTGTCTGCTGACATTCAAATAATGGAGGTCTAATGTGCCCGAGACAGAAAGGTCCATAAAAGTCCACAAAATACATGTCAATATCCCTCCATACTGCTCGACCAATGTA